TAGATCAAATTAGAAGTTACTTTTTTGTTAAGACTGGTTAAAGAGATGATTTTACTTCTTTCTTTTTATGAGTTTTTGGTTTGGGGGTCTTGTTTTTTTTTTTTTTGTTTTAGTTTTTTGTTTGGTTTTTGATTGTTGTTTTTCTTGATTTGGGTTATTTTTTTGGTGGGGGAGCCAGGGGGTGGTGTTGTGGGCATGTAGTTGCAGTACATCACATGCAGTTTTACAGCTTTATCCAGAGAGCTGTTACCAGTGGCTCAACATCATTGTCCATCATTGCAAGGGGAGTACCTCCACGTGCTCGTGTTTGCAGAACTCTTAGAGATACAAAGCAGAAGCGATTGCTGGAGGTTGTGGGGTGTTGTCATCTATTTGGATACTGCAGTAAAAGCATGGAGTCTGTTTTGTACTGTAGTGAACTTACTAGCTTTTCGCTGAGTGAGTTCGTGAGTGATCTGAACTGTGTAGCGGAGGTTGAACACTTGCATAGACAGGAAGCTTTGCTGAGAACTCATGTTTTGTCTTAGCAACAGGCACTGTTAACTTCTCTTTGTGCTGTTTGAAGCTATATATACAGAATCCTGATGTTGGTTATAGCCCTCCACTTGCACTGAAACAAGTAGGTACAATGAAAACTGAAAACACGGTCAAAATTTTGAACACCTGTGATCGTTAGAAATCAATCTCTTGAAACAAAGTGATTTTTACTTTTTACTGTAAAAATCAGTAGTTCATTAAAGTAACACAGGCAGGATTTTTTTTTTACTTTTTCAGCTTTTTGTTTTTGTAGTTTTCAGACTGAATGGTGCATCCTTAGTGGTGTGTAGACTACACAATGGGTATTAGCAGGTAAAATGGAAATTGCAAGATCAGGTCTCTTTCTCTGAAAATCATAGATGAGCTGATTTGATTATGGTTGATAACTTGAAGCATTTTCAAGTTTTCTGTCACCCATAAGTTATTAATTTTTAATTTTTCTGAATTTTAGGTGGAAATTACTTGAGAGAATGCACATGGTCTGGAATGTAGACATGTTTGCACTCTATACTCAGGAATATAGCAGCAAGAGTCCAGTTCTTATTGCCAAATAGTTAAATTTGTTTAAGTTATCATTAATAAAGCAATTACAGGTATCATTAGTGGTAGGATACTTCCAACTTGTCTAGTCAGAAATCCTTCAGAAGAAAAGGAATGAAGAATGAAGATACAAACTCAAGGGAAAGTAGAAGAAACATTGAAATAATAGCAAAAAACCACCCCAACTTCCCAGAAGCTCTTCATAAGTTGCTCTTTGTGACAATTTTTTTGTTCTCTTCTGTTGATGAGACTCTCCCTTTGGCATTGCACCCTCTCCCACTTCTTGCACCAAGAAGTGGTGCATACTTTTCTGTGTTCTCCTTGTCTGGCAGCACAACTAAATGCCATTCAGGTTTAAGTGATGATGTGCCCGGTGAATTGCCTTGGTCACCTCTGTATCTTCAAGCCATTCCAGCTCATCACCTCTCTGTGCCAGTTGAGCTGTCATCAGTTTTGCCTTGCCACTTTTGTTTCTGCATCTTTGTGTTGTTGTTTGTTGTTGTGGTTGTTTCCCTGTCCCCCCTCCCGTTCTGTCATGATTGCTCTGAGGTCCTCTGCCCTCATCCTGGGCTCTTGCTATGTTATGTTACTCTGACTGGCTGGTTTTATGAATCCTGACCTCCTGCCTCAGTGTTACAAAGTAAAAAATTATATGGATGGGTAGAGAAGAGTTCATATCAGGTTGCTTCAGTTCTTTATAACTTACAGGTACTTGCAGCCCTGATCTTCTCCATGGAGAGTTGCCTAGAACCAAGGATGAGGGAGTGAAGCTGGGGAGGTCTACGTTAATAGAAGACAGCTTGTAGGTGGCTGTAAAAGCATCCTGTAGTACTATGCAACTAACTTTCCTCTAGAGCAGGGAAGGTGTAGAAGGTTTCTTGTCCTCTGCCAGTTTGCAGTGTGCAGTAAGGTATCAGGCCAAAATCCATGCCACCATGTGCTGTTACTACCAATGCCCTTTAGCATCTTGTTCTGGCATCTGGAGACCAAAGGAAACAGTGACAGAGCTGCACTTGTCCATCTTCTGATTTGGAATAAAGCTCTGGAAGCAGTCCAGATTTCAAATTAAATTTCAAAATGAGTGGTAACAAAAATAAGCAAACTTTTACTGCATGGTGTAATTAATGTTCAGATAATGCCCAAAATCACAGTAACAAATGATCCATCCTAACTGGATGCAAATACTGTTTTCCCAGCTTGGACAACAGAGCAACAGCAATATGCTTGTAACAGTGGTCCCTCACTAGCCTGTCAAATCTGATTAGTCACAAGACACTATTTTAATTAGACCTTCTGTGGGAAGGGGGTGATGAAATGTGGCTGGCAGCCTGTTCTTGTGTTACTGTGTGTGGTGCTTAACAGTTTTGTTTGCAGACAAGTGCCTTCTGAAGTAATGTTGTCTTAATAAGTGTACACTCACAGTGCATCAGCAAGACCTGTGTGATATAAACTTAAATGGTATGTGAATCTAAAGTGACTGGCTCTTGAAATGACCCATTTCATGACTAGCTTACTGCTGATGTGCCTTAGCTAGTTCTGTGGTTAATTAAGGTGTTGTGTATGGCAGAGGAGTTATTTTTCCACTGCATCTTGAAGTTAATGTAGACACCAGGTCAGCATTAAGATTTTACTATAGGATTGTCAGCAAAAGCAAGATACATATATCTTATGTCAGATGACACTGAGACTTTATGCGGCTCCAGAGTGATAGGCTACTGCAAAACTCCTTGGAAGCTAGATGTGCAGTTTTGGCTTGGGATTTACACGCATTGGCACTTGTGTCCCTGGAGCAGTAACCTGTAGTAACTGGTGCTGCCTTGAGCAAACACACTTATCAGCTGAAGCTGGCAAAGTGAGGAGGTTACTTTCTCTAATCAGAAGTTTTTGGAATCCTCTAAAAAAGGAGTTCCTTTTTAGTCTGAGATAGTAACTAGAAAAAAGAACTTTGAGAAACCAAAAGAAGTGTGTGGAGGTTTTATCCCAGATTAAGTGGAGAGCAGGCTGTGCTTGCATGCAGCGCCATGCAGTCTTCAGTGACAAACAGGACTGGTGAGGACCTGAGGGCTGTATGATTTTACATGTCACCTGGCTTTTTCCCTAAAAACAAATCCAGTTGATGACGTAATTGCTACTCTCACACAGAGGAACTGCCAACACAACAACCTGTCTGGAAGTGAAACCTGGGTCTGAAAGTGCAACTATTTAATGTGCTATTGTCTGCAGTCCGGGCACTGGGACCAGTGAGGCTTGTTCAGCTCCAGTGGTTGACATGCAGCTCTTCTGGGTAGTCTGGTGGCTTTGCCCTTGACATCCTTCCTTGGATGGCAGGCTTGGCACTGTTTCACCTTCTTTTCTTTCCATCTTTGAAGCATTAATGTTTTGTTTGTTTCTGAGAACAAGGTGCCAGAACCAGTTTCTGGCGTAGTGGAATAGTTTCAGACGTAATAGCACTGCTGAGAGGGGTTGGTGAGTTTCCAAAAGAACCTGACAAACATTAAGCAGGATGACACACAGTTTTTATGTTCAGTGTGCACCTGGACTTGCCCAGCATGACTCACTTCCCTATGGCCCAGCATCTGCCCACTGTGTTTCACAAAGTCTGGTTGCACGTGGGTGATCTTCATACAGCTTTGGCTTTAGCTTTGTGTAGGTTTCCCATTAGCCAGGGCTGGTTCACCTGTTGATTTCAGTATAATGTTGAAAGGGATCTTTGCACTGCAAAAGAGATTTTCCTAGAGTACTTCAAACTGGCTCTTGTTGTCCCTAGTCCTGTCAGCAGCAGCAAGGAGGAAATAACTAAGCTGTGTAATCCTCACCTTCCTTTAAAATGTAGTGTTGGCAGTTGGAATCTGCAATGGGAACAGTGAGCACAAGAGTCCTTGACAAGAGGAATGATGGGCATTAATGTTAGATCTGTCCCATGCTGTTGTGCTCTGCTGCCTGTGGGGATGTACCAGAGGTCTCCATGGTTTTGAAGAACAGCTATAGGGCATTTCAGTCTGAGATGGAGAACTTCAGAGACAAAGGGCAGCTCTGAGTCTTTGTCATGCATAATGTTACAAGGAGCACTTAAATTGAGTTACTCTAGAAATTATGCTGTTGTCCCTTGTGATGTACTTCTAATCTAGCAAAAAAACCCCGTGTTATTAAGTATACCATAAGCATCCTGGAGCAGAGTTTTAGCTGACAGCTAATTCTATCTTGATCAACTCTTTTGGTGAGCCAGGTCTACTCTCTGTTAAAAACTCTCTGTTAAAAACTGGCTAGCCACTTCTGTGTTTAACATCTTGGCCATGAATGATTCGCATCCACATTTTAAAAGTTGTTGCTAAATGTTGTGGGCTGTGAGTGGGGCCTGTTCTCATTGGTTTCTTGTGTGTATCCAACATATCTTTCTCATGGTACCATTTGTTTTACACCTCTTTTATGCATTGCCCAATGTGTCTAGATGAGTGCCATGCTGGCTAGCTGGCTGCATACCCAGTATAGTAGTATCCCTTTTTTAGAGCAGCAGGGATTAAACTGAAGAGGATCAGTGTGGTATTTCCAGTAGGAAGAGCTATTCTTAATGCCAGGGGTGGCAGGGTGTACTTCATGAGGCTGGGACAGAGTGGCCTCTGTGTGCTGTGATCTGTAACTCTGTCTTCCTGTTCACTCTGGTTGTGTCTTGGCTGTTTGCTGTTTTGGTTGGGACTTTTTTTTTTCTTTATTTTTCTGTTTCAATTGGCAGACCAAGGTCTAAGTTATTTCTTTGCTCAATTAGTTTCAAGGCTAAAAAATATGTTTGCTTATCTGTCTTGGAAACAGGCACATCAGGTGTCTGCAATGTGTTCCATAACCTAGAGATAAGACTCTGGAACTGCATGGACTCACTCTGTGCTACATATGCAAAGTTGTTCAAGCTGTTTTAAAATGTTTTTCAGGTTCTAGATGGCTTCTAAGAAGTTGGGATCCGACTTTCATGGTAAGTGAGATTTAGCATCCTTGACTTTTCAATAGGATGAATCCTACTATTGCTGCTGACTAACCTAGACAGTCCATAGAGACTAATCTGTTCAGCCTCTGAGTAGTTTTTTGTTAGGAATGAAGTGCCTTGGCTTCCTTCTTGCATAGTTGCTTGCTGATGCTGTGTTTGCCTGTTCTCTGATTAAACTGAAAATGAGTCTCTGGCTGTTCCCTGTTCCTTCATGGCAGAATAAAACATTCTCCTTCCCCAACAAATTCCCCTTCAAAATCAAAGCTGAATTGCTCTGGTGTTTGCTGAAGCGGGCACTAGATCTGTAGCATCTTCCTATGGAAGTCACATGAGAAGTTGAATTGAAAGTGAAGCTTTTAATACAACATTGCATTGTGCTTCATTTTTGCTCAGCCATGAATTTCTCTCCTAAATTGGACAAACTTGGTTCAGAAGGTAGATGAAGAAAAGACTCTATTTTTCTGTCTTCTACATATGAGATGCATAAAGTCATGCAGGTGATTGGTATCATAAAAGTTATTTGTCTGTAATGTCCTTATTTTTTAGAAAATGGTGTATAATTTGAGTGTAATTAATGTTTCTGTGGAAAGTTAAAGTTCAGTTCGTTGTATGTAATGTGTCTTCCTCAAATCAGTAATCATGACTTTTCAGGCTGTCAAAACTAATGCTGTGAGAAATTCAACCTTGATCTTTCTGGGTAATTTTTGCAATAAAAGGGTCCTGGGGAATTCAGTTTTTCCTGGAGCTCTTGATTTAGTCTTGCAAGTGTAAAGTTGACCTACAAAATAAGAAATGTCTCACTTAAATACTGGGTTAAGGATTAATAGAAATAACGTATCAAGACTTCATTTTTCGATGGTCTCCTTCTTTGCTGTGGCCCAGTGACCCTGCTGCAAGACAGCCAATTTTTTCACTTGGTACTTGCCAGCTATTCAGCAATTAGTCCTGTGTCTGAAAACAATCTCTATGAACACTGCTCTGCTTGTCTTTTATGTCTGTTTTTATTTTTCTCCTCACCTAACCAGACTAATAAAGGCTGCTCAGGGCCAGAATTCAAGATGTCTTAAATATTTCCCAGGAAAGTATGGTGTGGTGGAACGTGCTGCTGGCTTCAAAATAACAAGGTCCAAACAAATGGTACTATGAGCTGCCTGGTTAACTGGTGTGCTCCTTTGTGTACTCTCTGTTCCTAACCACACTGTCGGAGTACTGTTTCCAAGGAGCAACTTCCTTGTCTTAATTACATCTTAAGAGAGCAGCAGGACAGTTGTTTCAGTCTTCTCCGGGGTTGTTATCTCACTAAGTGAGTTTTGGTTTACTGTAGAGCATTCATCCCCTTGGCTGCCTTCAGCTCGGTGTCTCTGGCAGGCTGATGAAATCAGTGAATATAGTTGATGTATCTCTTGTGATTCTTGTTGAGCTGCTTATTAGAGGTCAGAAGGCTGTCACAGAGTGCTTGAGGCTGGCAGGGACGTCTGCAGATTGTCGTGTCCAAACCCCTGGCAGGGTCACCTAGGGCAGGTTGCTCAGGACTATGTCCAAATGCAGATGAAGATGGGAACACGAGGTATCAGTGGAGGGAAAGGAATCCCTTTTCCTGCATGGATTATGTCAAGTGTGATGCTTCAATATTTCAGTTGTATTTTTGCTGTTGCTATACAATTTCAAAGCTTCTTAACTCTAATTTCCAACAATTACATAAATGGTTCATGTGACCACAGAAACTAAGTTCCACATGGTTTCAAAACTGTTCCCCATTCATGTTTTGGTTGTTTTGTAGTTTTTTTTGGGTTTTTTTTCTGAAGTGTTTCCATTTTGGTGCCAAACTGGACACTTCTATGAGTTAAACTGAAGTGGAGAGAAATCTTACTCTTGTAGTAGTTTATTGTGCCAGGAATGTAGTACAGAGACCGGGCTGAAAAGTATGCTTTAGCCAGGCCTATTCTCAGAAATTACTCAGCGTTCTTTTACCTGATACAAGGATGAAGTGGCTAACAGACTTATTAAACAACAGTTTGGTAAAAACTTGTTTCGCTTGAACATGTGGCTGTTGTAACAATGCCTTTCATAATACTTTTTTTATGTAGGTTTTTTTCTTACTGCTCTAGAATATGACATTTAAAACAATTTGCACCCTGTTCTCCTCAGCGTGACCTGCTTACAAAAAGAGAAGGATTTTTTGCTCTCTGGATAAAGTTTTAGCTTCACCGAGCTAGTACTGTTCTGATTGGGCTGAATTTTATATGCATAGGTATTTTGCCTCAGACATTTTGCCATCAAATGTCCTAAACCATTTAGTTTTTTTTAATATGCGCTTGTGGACTTTTTCTCATAGTTATATTCTGGATGAGGTTACAGCAAGGGTTGTTATTAAAAAAATCAGTATACTGGGGAAGAAAGTAGGAAGTTTTATTCTTTAGTCAAGCTTCTGGGGTTAAGCTGGCAGTTTAATATAGCTAGTTAGGTGTGCTTAGTATTTTTTATTTGCTGTGCAAAACAGGATTGCTGTTTACATACAGCAAAGTTTCTGCTTGTACCCTCTGTGGCTGGTATCTGCTTCAGGAGTTGTTGTGCAAGGGGAAGTGCCCACTGCATATTGTCAATAGGTCTAATAAGACAAGGATTTGCATGCTGAGCAATTTGGGCTGGGAGATCCTTGTGGAGAGGTAATCTTGCTGCACTTGGATCATCTGGCATAGAGCAGGACTTGTGCCAGTGGCATTAACAGGCCGTGGTAGCAGCAGTTGGCAGATATGATTGGCTCTGACCTGGCCATGATTTACCACTCTGGCTGCAGGGGCTGTCCACAGTTATTTCTGTATAAGCAAATGCTTTGGCATATCAGGCTCTCAAGTTGTCAGCTCAAGTACAACTTGGATGCTGTTGTTGCAAACAGTGGTAGTGTTGGCCAGGTGAGGTGCTGGCTGGATGCTATGCTGTGCAGTGCTTAGATACGTGATTCCCAGTAAGGATCACTGAAAACAGTCATGTTCTACCTGGAGCTTTTTTTTTTTCATCCTGCAGGTGCAGGTGGCATGTAGGTTGTTCTTTTCAAAGTGATTGTTGCAAAGTGTCCTAACAGGACTCTGTGACCAGCCAGTGTGTGCATAGTATGAGAGCTCAAGTAATGACAGCATGTAAGCCTTTAACTGCAAATTGACAGGATGTTCTTGTTTATGAAAGCTGCTCAGCCTCTGGGAGTCTGTGGCTGCCTTGTAGATGAATCAACAGTGAAGGAACACAAACAGTACTTATACTGCCATCTGAGTATGAAAATGGGTCAGATAAAAACAGCAAGTCACAGATCACTGAGCGAGGAGGGCTTGGTCACTGAACACTATCTTAGATGTTGCCACTAATGTCTGTCTGTACTCATGGAGAAGCTACAAGTGGGGGCTAGAGTCACTCCTCAGATTATTACACGTGCCAGAAACCTTGCCTGTGATTCCAAAAGCTTAGATGAGTGAACCAAGAGACCACTATTAGTTAATGGAAGAGCTGTTTTGTTTGTATTTTGGGTTTTCTCATACTTCTTCACAGTTACTCAAGGAAAACACATGAATACTCTGGCTGCTTGGAGGTGGTTGAGCTCTAAGTACTTTTTCCTTGTGAATTTGCCAGAGAAGTGTCATCCTAGAAAAAAACAACAGATGTAAGGCCTGGTAAAGTTAGATTGCCTTGTTTCAAAAATTAGAGTTACTGTGTTAGTAGCCTTAATATTTCACTGTGTTTTGCTTAAAGTGGAATGGCTTTTCTTCATTCTTCGCATTTGTGACCACTTCTGTCTAAATGCTACTTACTACTTGTATGTCAAAACCTGGATTGTAGTTTGTCTTAGTTGTTCTAAAGCTGCGTAATTTTGAAATCTGCTTTGAATATGACAAAAAATGATGGAGATAGAATACAGTGTTCAGGAGAGTTTCGGCATCCAGTTGTGTAGAATAGTGTTGTCACAAAGGAAACTAAGATACTGGTTGCATTGATGTCAAAATCTTGTGGATTGTGGTTGTGAGGGGGTTTACCTTCATTTTTGTTCTTTCTTTTTTCTTAACAGTTATTGCCTAGAATTTAGGAATGAAACAAATTCTGACCAAACTCCCTAAACTAAGAGACACTGAGGTCCAAACTGCTTCAAACTCCGTTTGTGTTGTTATCTGGTGTAGATGCTGCAGTGGAGATAAAATAGCTCCCAAACACAGCAATGTGAGCCTGAATGTAAAGTGTGAAATTCATGAGTTGTGGGGTTTTTTTTCTTAATGTAATTCCTGCTTCTGATTTCAGGGCCTTTCAGTTATCTTGATGATGTCCCATTTAAGATAGGAGACAGGTTCAAAACCCCAGCAAAGGTTGGATTACCCATTGGTTTCTGTCTGTCTGATTCTTCTCAGCTTGTCAGAGAAGCCCAGGTAAGTGATATTTTGCCTTCCTGCTCTTTCTCCCCTCACCCCTGGCCCCAGCCTGTGGTGCTGTACATTCCAAGCTGTCACAGTTTGCACACAGACAGTCTTGTATTTCTAGAAGATCTGTTGGGCTATATAGAAAAATAAAATATGATGTGTCATGCAGAAAGCTTCTAATTTTTATTGCCTTAAAAACCATTAGGCTTTTATTTTTAAGCATTTGTTTTAGTATATCTGTTTCAAAGAAGCACAGTGGTTTTGTGTGTTTGTAGTTAGTTCTGAATGTTACCTTGATAAAATTTTAATGTAGTTTTTAACAGGATAAATCCTAAGAACAGATACACCCAGGCAATGACATAATTTTCAGTTCTTGTTTTCTGGGTTGTTCTGAGTGAGAGTTCTTTCCAAGCTGTGGGGCAAACAGGCTACAGCTTGGTACATGGACAGCTTCCCCGTCTTGAGGAGCATGTTTTTGGTAAAATAAATTGCTAGTAGCATAAAATCAATTCCTTCAGTGCAACTGTTGGATATCTAATCTCCAAATGCAGGTTGTGATACAGGAAGTCTAATTGAATTATACTTTCTTGTTTGGATCCATGATTTTCCTTTACCAGTCCCAACTGATGATTGTTTTTACTTTGTCTGTGACAAATATTGCTGTAGAGGTGGTTCTGCTTTTTTCTTGCTGTTTTTGTTCTCTCCCTGCTCTGCATATTACGCTGTTATCCTACTTCATGGCTTTTCCCTCATAACCATTAAACACTTACCTGGTTTTTCTAGTACCCATATTTCCACTCAGTTATGCTGGTGTGGGAGAGCTAAAGCAGATGCTGATGTCCTGTTGCTGGCTTGATTGTGCTGTGTATCCATTTTTCTGCCAACCTGGGGCTCATCCAGCATAGTGTGCCTGTTCAGACTGCAACACCTGCAGTGTGGACTGTGCATCTCACAGTGGAATTCGACTCTTTTTATAGCTGTAATGAGCGCTGTTAAAAAAAAAAAAAAAGTGCAGGCAATATAGCTTCCCACCCATATTTTTAGTATTAAAAAAGTGGATATTTAAAGATAGAGTTAGGCTCCTCAGAATTTTGCCCTTTAGAACTAAGCCACTCTGTGGTCAATACACTGGTAGTGAGTAGATGCCTCCCTGTGCTGATCTGGCCTTAAAGGACCTGGTGTTAAATGGGAAAAGCTTTTGAGATCCTGTCACATCAGTAACCTACAGCAAAATCTGCTGCCTGTATGTGTTGTCATTGGTGTAGCCACCGTATCCCCTTTGGCTGGTAAGGCACTGCACTGGAGTGGGAATGAAAATACTGCCTTAAACCAATGGGTGTAACACTCTGATATCAAGTCCCTTAGCAATCTTAGGGGAAGCTGAGTAATACTGTGTTGGCCTTTGGATGCAAAAATACTCTGCTGAACGACTTGTAGAACTTGTGGACCGGGGATAGTTCAGTGGTGCCAGATCAGGGTGTGATTGTTCATCTAATAACTCATTAGACTTCCCCTTGCTACCTCCCTTGCCCTGGGGGAAGAAGGTGGGAGGGCTGTGAAACTGAGCTTGGGATGATGAGTATTTCTAAAGCAAAGCTAAATATAGGAAGAAGGCAAAATACAGTTCTCTAATCCAGGCTGCAGCCAGATTTTACTGTTAGTGGCAAAATTAAGTACTTCTGGTGTCTGCCAGTTTTGTCATTCTACAGGTTGTGAAAAAATGTTGCTGTTCCTGGTAATTCATGTAGCTCTTATTCTCTTTGCATTAGTTTATGTTGCTGTTAGAAGTAGCAGCTATGATCCATATAACTTTTTTTTTTTTTTTTTTTTTTTACTTCCCCTTCTCTGCTTTCCCCTCCATGTCCATTCAGTATGACTTCTCACTGGAAAAGAAAACAATCGAGTGGGCTGAAGACATCAAAAAAATTCAGGCTGCCCAGAGAGAAGCTGAACGCAAGGCAGAAGAAGCTCTAGCAAACTCAAAAGCAGCTCCAGAGGACAGCACCAAGATGGGGTTCTCAGAGGGACCTTGCCCTGAAGCCATGCCTCCTCCTATTAACCCCATCCTTGCTAGCCTGCAGCACAATAATATTCTGACTCCTACGCCAGCCAACACCAGCTCTGTGAAGCAAAAGGTCCTCAGTCCACCTCGTCCAAAGGCAGATTTCAACCCAGCTGATTTTGAATGTGAAGAAGACCCTTTTGACAAACTGGAATTAAAAACTATTGATGATAAGGAGGAATTAAAAAATATCCTTGAAATTCATGTTGGTACTACTGGGCCAATTGTTGCCCAGCTGTTAGATAATACTTTGCCTAAAGGAGGGTCTGAGTCTGTGTTGCAAGATGAGGAAGTTCTGGCATCCATAGAAAAGGCCACGTTGGACTTCAAACCCCTTCACAAACCCAATGGCTTTATCACTTTACCACAGCTGGGAAACTGTGAAAAGATGTCCTTGTCTTCCAAAGTGTCCCTTTCCCCCATCACTTCAGTGAGCAATATCAAATCCCTGTCATTCCCTAAGCTTGACTCTGATGAGGGTGATCAGAAATCATCAAAGCTCACGAGCACTTTCCACAGCACTACCTGTCTCCGCAATGGCACTTTGCTTAGCTCTTTGCAGACCTGTGCTCAGAGTAAAACCAGTGAACTGAATGGACACCATGTGCTTGGTCTTTCTGCTCTAAATGAGGACAGTGGCAGGGAGACATTATCCTCTTCATCCAGGCTGTCTTCCCTGGCTGTTTCAACTGTTTGTACAGAAGAGGAATCATCTCAAAGCACATCGACTACGGTAAACATGGAGTGGAGTGGAACTGGGGTTGCTGGTGAGAGGTGCAGGTGCAGAGGCAGCTCTTGCCTCTAAATTGCCCTGTTGCTTTGGTTGTAATTTCATTTGCTAGGAGTGAATTGTAGGTCCTCTTAATGTACGTGGCAAATTGATCAGTCCAGCAGGTTTCTGTGGTGGTAGTTCTGATCCTCAGTTTATTACCCTGCATTTTCCCCCACGTTTCACATTTTTAGACCAAATCCAGTGATTGTTTTTTCAGCTTTTCAGCTCTCATTTGTTGTTGATAGTAGTGCACCTTTGAGCTAAGCATATAAGGCATCTTCTGTGTGCAGTCCTGCTTTCTGTCCTACCCAGATGAGATATATCACACTCTGAAGTGCTGTTAGGCTTTGAATCAAATCTCTTCTGGTTTTCTTCCTTGGTTTGCTTGTTTATTTGCTGGAAATAGTGGGAAATGCAGGCTTCTCAAGGAATAGACGTAATAATAGGTTAAAACACACAGATGTGGTATGTCATTCGGGGAAGAACAAAAGTGCTTGCAATTGACCTGCAGTGAAGTAAGCCTGGTTTTTTTAAGCTTCAGTTTGCTTCCTGAGACCCTTTAAAAACTCAATCTTTAAGAGGGAAAAAGTTTTAGTGATATGAAATCTTGTATTTGCCCTTTCTTGTGAAGGAGAGTGGAGTCATTGCTTGGTGGAAACCAAAACCAGCCTTGAAGATCATTTTGTATTTTTAATGTTACAGTTCACCATACAGCTCTGAGATGGGAGATTGAGGAAATGAAGAGTCAATCTTGTTGAAAGTTCTAAAATTACTTTGAGGACAATAACTTCACATCAGGTGTTGTTTTTGTCTCTTTGAGTAAAAACAGAGATTAGAGTAAGCTTGTGGGGGTTTTTTACTAAGAACTGCAGATCTGGACACCAGTACTCAGGAAGCCTGGTGAAAGCTGTGTATTCAAATCCTCTCGATTGTTCTAAAATAATCTGGGTTTTTTCTGTGTCCAATATAGGCAGTGTTCCAGTGATTCTCTGGTTTTAGTGTTGTGCTGTAGGTTTTTGTGTGACACCATGTGCTGTGAAACAAGTGATGCTGCTTCTCCCTTTTGTCTGTCCAGCTCTTTTCAGGGTTAGATAAATGCAATCATAATTGTGAAGTACACTATTTCCCAGAATATTGTATCTGACAGAGCAGAGCAGAACAGCTGATTGTTGATGACTGGAACAAATTCAATGCTGTTAACTTTGGCAGGAGCAGCAGTGTGCTGAGCACCTGCTCACTGCAGCAGGTCACAGGTGTGAGAAGGACCTGTATGACCTCAGTTAGGGAACACATAGCATCTCTGGGGATGAAAGATCGCTTACAACTAGATAGATTGGCATTAAGATGCGTGAATTTACACTCAAACAATTCAAGTCTCTCTGCTGAATTAAGTTTTTTTAAAGACCAAGATGGAAAGCGTATTCTTGACAATGTTTTAAGGGAAGATGCAAAGTGGGAAAAGAAAATAGACTTATTCGGAGAAGTAATAAGATTAATTCATTAATTTGAAACTATGCTTTGGAAGTAGTGAACCAAGAAATAATTATGCTGACAGAATTTAGTTCTTTGTGTTTAAATTCCAAGACTTCAGATTATACTTGTTTTATGTTTCCACAGTATAATTCCACTGGAAAATGATGGCTGATATGCAAGAAATTTAAATGCAACAAAAGAATTTAAATAAATGTAAGAAAAATCCTCAGAGTATGAAAACAATAGAATGAAATCACAGTCATCTCTGTGGCTGGGAGCAGAAGGCTCATGTCCAAATGTATTCCATAGTGATTTTTTTTTCCTCACAAGATTAGGAATTGTGACTTTGAATTTGCAGTTACCATGGTAGTTTTTGCTTTACCACTGAATTGGATCGAGGAATCTTTTGATGGAAATAAATCTATAGTTGCTTTGAGGCTGCATAGGTTCTGTGGTGGTCCCCTCTCCTCACTTTTATTTTTTCTTGAATCTTAGTGTGTTGATTTTTGCAGCTTTAGCAGAAGTAGAAATGACTAACGAAGACAGGAGATTGAAATTAAACTGAAGTGGATTGTGTAGGAGGAGTTGGCTTTCCCAGACTGTTGAATCTGGTGTCAGAAGCAGTTTTGGTTTTCCTGACTGCAGCATCAATAACAAAGCATGATTTCATGGTTATTTTCCCTATTTCAATGTGTCCTGTATTCCAGTGCTTTTGGCTCTTGAAAAAGTGTCTGGAGAGAGGATGTGTCTGAAAAACACACCATGAGAATAGGTTCTTGGATACTCTACTGCATTAGAATGAATATGATGTCTTGGGGTTGGTTTTTCTAGAGCGGAAATTCTTACCCTGGAAGATGTTCAGGAATGCAGAACAAAACCCTCCTTGGTGGTAGTTTGGGATCTTTTTGCAAATAAATGGAAATTATCAAAATCCTAGTAGATCTTTTCAGATTGATTTTCTGTAGAGGGTTTTTTTGTTGTTCAGTTTGGGCACTAAAAAGGCCTTTCTGAAGGATGTGGACAACCTTTCAAGCAATCTGTGCTGGCATAATAAGTAGTAAGAAATGCTAAAAACGGTGGTTCTTGGTCCATAGGGGTTTCTTGCAGACTGTTCTAACTCTGTTTAAAACGCAGGAGTTCTAAATGTATTGAATTGAAACGTGCAGCTTTGGTGGGGCCAAGGCCTGACTTTGCACTGCTGTTAACTTGGGCTAGGTTGTACAAAGTGGTGGGGTGGTTGTGCAGAAGCAGAGCAGGTGCATAGCAGGGGACAGGACCCAGCCCTGCTCATGTGCTGGGAGTGGGACAAGTGCTGGGTAGAAAACTCACCTGTTCTTTTGAGCCAGTGTGGCACATTGTTCCTGCGTGGTGTATGGAGTTCAGTGCTTTGGGAATAGAAAAGAGGTGTATTTTTCTCTTACCCCTTCACATAGTCAGAAAGTCCAGAGAAGTCTTTAGGCAATGGCTTCAAAATTATCACTGTTACTCAGGCAGTGTAGACTTGGTGGGGGGCTGAACTGGGGCTGTGTAAACAAGCAGTTGTTAAGACAGAATAAACAGTCTTATAATTATTGTGGGGGTACACACATCCTTCTTGGAGTGTAATCCATTTGTAGAGTGCTGAGTGAAGGAATGATCCTTACGATGATGATGAGTCTATAGCTGCAGGCAATGGGTAATGTCAGCATCTTGTATGTGGAAGCCTGATCAGACCCTACAGTCTCCCATCCAGTGGTAGAATCTTCTATAAAACCTTCCTTGCCCAACTGTGGCAAACTCTGCTGACTGGTATGTGATGTTTATACTTGTTTCATTTGTGTGTTGTCCAGCAGGTACACCCAGACTGCCAGGAAACAGAAATCCCTGTGGTAAGTTTCCAGATACACCTGTGTGCTTGCTTGCATTGGATCATGTTTATGGTAATCTTGGTAAGTGGTAAGTAAGAAAACCATAGGTCATGAGTAAACCTGAGGTGAAGGAAGCAATCCATGCTTCCTTTGAGGTGCAGGGTTTGGCTGTATCCCAGCCTTCACTGTTGCAGGGCTTGGTTGTTCAAAGGCTTTGGTCATACCAGTAGGAGAAGGGTCATTGTGGAGAATTGGGTGTTGTTGATTGTTGCTTTGAGGGTTGAAAGAGTATGGTGGAAATCAGACTACTTGGTTTCATCCTCACAGTGTGTAACTTCCCAAGGGCACTCTAGAAAACCTTTTGTATTAATTACATGGGGTATCCTGGTTCCAGCATTAGGCAGAAACAGGATGTGGGGATGCAGGAGATGACCATCACCTCAGACTCTGGGTTTTCCCCCTTAGGTAACACACCAAAACTTCGCAGTGTCTAAAGTGCCCAATAACAGCAGCTGCACGAAGTGGCCGGGCGGTCTCGCGGCCGAGCTGCAGCAGGGCCTCTCCCCCAGTGAGAGGCACTGTGTGGAGACTGTGGTCAACATGGGCTACTCGCCTGAGAACGTCCTGAAAGCCATGAAGAAGAAGGGACAGAACATAGATCAGGTGAGAGCTTGTGCAATGCAAAGAAATGCTTGATTGGATGCTGGTTCTGCTGGGAAGCTGTCCTGGGTTTGCAAAATGTGTGGGGGAAATACTGTTACTCCAACAGGGGGTGCACCCTAAAGGTTGTGCTTATTTCTGGTGAGAGATTGCTGGAGTCAGCCACACCTTGGGTGCTGGGTTGGAGCCATGCTGAGTTTGGGCTGGTCCCTGTGCTCTATGTGAAACTGAGGAGAGATGTTCTGGGTCTCACCAAGAGCCACAATCACATCCAAAGGAGGCTTAGCATGGCTCTGTGCCATGTTAAGAACCATGTGACAAAAATCCAGCCAACACAAACCCTTGTTCTGAGCACAAGGGTTTACAAAGCTGAAATCTCTCCTTGTAGAGAGATTGGCCCCTGCAGGCCTAAGACAGCTCTGAGAGGCTCCTGCAAGGCCCCACTGACCGACTTGTGCATGCCCTGGTGCTGCTCCTTCCTGCTCGAGTCCTGCCCCCAGTGCCTGCTCAAACCAGGTCACTGGGCACTAAGCACTGCTGGGCAAAGCTTGCCTCTTGGATCTGCTTCAAACAAACACTTCAAAGTGGGAGAACATGGCCCAGCCTCCTGTGCTGGCCTCAGCAGGCTGTGTGCTGCACACAGCATATCCCAAGGATGCTTGCTTGTGGGACTGATCTGCTGGCCCTCTCCCTACACATGGAGAGTGGCTTAAGCTGTTTGCTGGAGTGAACTGTGCTATCAAATGGAAAAAAAGGTCCCCTTAGGAGGGTGGTTTTAAATCCTGCTCTACTTGCAAGCACTGTTCTTTCACATACCTAGCATTGCCTATCTGACCCTTCCCCTTAAAGCTGATGATGGATAAGAAATTTGGCAGCAGTTTCTGTGTGCGTGAGCCCGGATTTGCAGCTCACTTGCCAGTATGCTGAGTTGATCTTCAAAGGCTGACTGCTCTCAGATTGCATCAGCTCTTGTGGCTGTCTGAGAGGAAGCTAAAAGTAGACATGTCTTGGCTGCTGGACCTACAGTTTCATTTTTAAAACTTGTAATATAAAAAGCACAATGAAACTTCTGCTCTGCCATCAGAGGGCTAAAGATACACTTCTTAGGCTGCTTTCACTAGAATGAAGGGGATGGTCAGAGAGCACAGCAGGACAGAAGGGTTTGTCTGCTTTTTTGGCACAAGCTCTTTTATAAGGAGTGTCTCAACTCTGCTAGGAAGGACTGTATCTCTGTCCCTGGTGGAGCACTGGGTAGGATCATGCTCAACCCCTCTGCATGTACCAAGGTGACATTCAGCTGCCTGCTGCAAGTGTCTCTCTGCAAACACAGTTTGTTTTCTTCATCCCACACAGGTTTTGGATTACCTGTTTGCACATGGACAGCTTTGTGAGAAGGGCTTTGATCCACTTCTTGTTGAAGCAGCTTTGGAAATGCACCAGTGTTCAGAGGAGAAGGTGAGGGTGTAATGTGTGCAGGAATAGAAAAATGTGCCATGACAGGGAATTCCAGCAGCAGTTCCTCTGGCTGATGTAATTCTGGATTTCAGAATGGTAATGCTGCCTTGTTTCCAAAACTGACTGCCAAAGGATGTCTTTTGTTGATAAAGCTAAAAGTTGTTAAAACATTAGAATTTGTCTGTGCCATTCTGTTAGTCTCATTTGCAGCCATTTATATGGGGACAGGATTTTTTTAGGACTCTGCTTATTGTGGTAACATTGTTTTGAATGCCCAGAGTTCTCTTGTGTGTGAGATGCTCGGTACAGATACAGTTAACTTCAGCAGCAGCAAATTGTCTTTCAAACCTTGCCAGCCTGCCCTGGCCATTAATTTTCTCCCTTGTGCAAGTGCATCTGCCCGGCTGCTAGCAAATTGGATTTGGGCTTGCTCTGGAAGAAGCTAGAAAATGCATGTGTTCATTGTCTAGCTGCTTTACCAGCACCAAAGGTACAGCAGGAGCAGGTTGTAAGGGCAGAGGACAGGAGGATCTTTTAAAGTCTGCCACCCTATAGTGTGACAGGTAAATTACATGAAGTCTTTAGAGGTGCAACCCAACCCCCTCAAACATAGATATATACCTTCCTGCCTTTCTTGGACAAGTGATAGTCTTGTAAACAGAGCAATAGCAGTGTGAGGATGGAAAGTAACTGAGTTTGAGAAACCCATTTGCTATTGGCTCAGCCCCAGAATTGGAAATTGCTAATCTCCTGATTGCCCATTTCAACCTGCTTGCTTGTTTGGGATTTTTCCTTCCCCTGGAGTGGAGCAGATGCACTGTAAATGGCACAGGGTTCATAAAAGTGAGCAGCTGACTCACTTCTTGCCATTTTATTTTTCAAAGCTCAGGAAGGATTCACAGTTGATGTTGGAAATATTGCATGTACACAGTGGGGTTTGTGCTAATCCCCCAAGTTTGCCCTAGATCTGAGAAGCCAATTGATAGCAAGGGCTGCTGTGCTGTTCCCAAAGTCCAAGTAACTTAAAAAAAAAAAATCAGGTGCAGCAGGAGCTGCTTGATGAGGCAGCTGGGTGCCATTAATCAACATTTTTTGGATCCCACGTTGGGCCAGGTTGATAAATATACTTCTAAGAGAGACACACCTTGGCAGACTGAGCTTTGGTGCCCTGGTTGGAGAGGATTTTGGAGGTGAAGGATGGCAAACAGGGGACTGAAAGTCCCTGTGGGCTGCTGTGCCCAGAGCTCTGGTGGCTCTGGTGTGAGCAGACTTGCTCCCAACAGAGCTGGAATGGGCTGTGCTTAGGGAGGAGAAATCCAGAGTCATGCTGCTGAAGAAAGGCTCTGTGCTGAACCTTCACCAAGCACTGAGCCATCCGCTTTGCTCTTGCAAATAACAGGCTGTCTGTCTTTCAGATCACAGAACTTCTCCAATTAATGAGTCAATTTAAAGAAATGGGCTTTGAACTCAAAGACATTAAGGAGGTCTTATTATTACACAAGAACGACCAACACAATGCTTTGGAAGATCTAATGGCCCGTGCAGGAGCCAGCTGAAGACACATTCCTGGGTTCTTGGCGTGCATCGGAGCAGAACCAGCCCCGCCACCTTCACATCCAGTGTGACTTGCTCTCAGCGGAAGGAGTCCAGCTTTTTGCATACAAGGGAGAGTGACTGAGCAAGTCTGCCTGCCTGTATCACTCCAGCATTTCTCTTTCCACTGAGGGCCAGCTTTCATTCTTAAATTAAATTTTAAAGTGTCCTTTCCTAAGTTTCCTTTTTCCAGCTTGGCCACGGAAAGTTGAGACTGCCCAGCCTCGACTGGAATTGTACATAGGTAGAGATGGAGTGGTTCCCCCCTCATTGTTGCACTGGAGTTGGACAGAAGTATTAAGTTGGTTCTGAAACTAGGATGCTTTGGTTCTTTGAAGCTGCTTTCATGGTGTCTTGTCTGCTTGTACTGAATTACTTGACTGTGTCACAGTCCAGATTACCTGGTTAAATTTGACCTTTAGTGCAATGGAGTTTTATTTTTTGGTTGAAAGTTAGTCTGTAACTTAGTATAACACTGGTTCAGAAACTGTCACTATGCATAAAGAGAGAACCTTGGTTTTTTTTGTCCTCTTGGTTTTTTTTTTTTACCCATGCATCCAATATTTTGCCAGACGTGAGTGTCCAGTGCTGAGTGGTAAGTTCCCTTGAAGCAGGTAAGCTGTGAACTCAACCTGGACCTGCAGCTTCTGTTGGTTCTTAAACCTGAAGGCAGAGAGCTTGGGCTCAGTATTTTTAATCCCCCCAGGCTTGTAGGATATTTAAGACAATGCCCTGCTAGAAAGTCAGTTAATCTTTCTGTTTTAAATAATACACAGTGTGATGCAGGAGATTACTTTCAAGCACTTTCTTTAAAACAGATATACTCACTGCATTAGTTCAATTTTTCACACTGATATAGAATTACATAATAATATCTAGTACTACAAATCAGGTTTGGGGTTGTTTTTGATAGTTCAAAGTATTACGTTGTACATTGATCAAGTTCTAAATACATTAAATATCAGCAGTCTTGAGGAATCTCTAATTTGCTAAATATTTTGATTCTGCAGAAGACCAACTAATAAAACCCTGAAATATAACTCCCAGTGTCATGGTTCCCATCTCTCATGCACTTTGGCTTCAGCAGACGGGGACCTTGCTGCATCCTGCCCACCCAGGTGCTGCCAGCTCCTGTGGGCACGTGTGAGCACTGTTGGGCAGAGCAACCAGAGGTCTCTGAGCTGCAGCTGCAGTGGTAGAAGGTGCTTTGCTTCTCTGTAGCTTATTTTTGTTTTGTGGCAAAACCCCAGCCTAGGGATACAAACTCACGTTAGAGCCTGGAGCTGGAGCATTGGACTGCTGGAGGGCAAAATGTCTCAGCTCTTTGCATCAGTGCAGGTTTTTGAGTAGGAGGTTTCAGCTCATCAGGATTCCAAAGGAGATGGCATTTGTCTCCATTATGTTGTTAACTTTCTATGACCAAAACATCTAATTTGAGCCCAGTGTGCACTCCTGGAATTCTCTGTGGGGTGCCCAACTGCATGAATTAAATGTTTACTTAAAATGATGCAAGAGAGGGATCTGCTGGCAATTATCTAGGAGATGTGGAGAAGGATGATGATGAGGAGGAGCAGAGCAGGTTGCCTTGCACATACCCCATAGTGTTGACCTTCACCATTTTCTAGTAGTGGAGCTGAAATAAAGATTGTCTAAGAATGACATTTAGCAGCTGGTGGGACAGCAGCTGCTGCCTCTGGCAGTGCAGGTAATGTCCCGCTTTTGTTCCTTCCGAGGTCAGAAATGCAACAGTGAAGTGAGGAAATGGGGTTCCTGATTAATTGAGAAACCTTGAAAACAAAATTCAAACTGCTTTTCCATCACTGCTGAGAGCATTTGGTTGTGTTGCTTGTTCTGGTTTTCTCAGAATTGCTACCCCAGTGAGTCCCTGTCTGGTACCAGACAGTCTGGAAGGGGCAAGAATTCTTTGCCAGCAAAGAAACAACTATTTAGACCAAACCTCTGAATAAAATAATCTCTGATTGTATTAGTGTATGGGGTTTTTTTTCACAATTCCCCTCCAAGGTCTGCCTCTTAACCCCACAGAATAATCACTCTGCTTTTGGAGCTCTTGTGGAGGTGAGAGCAGGGAGGTGAAGATGGGAAGTGGCAGCTGTGAAGATGCAGGGTCTTATTTCGGAGAGCCATGCCCACCCAAGTCTACCCTGGTGACACTACTCTTGCTTTGGCAGTGATTTAAATCCTTGGGTGTCTGAAGGCATTAAGGGTATTGCTATGTTGGCATCTCAGTGAAAAAAATACCCCAGAGTGAGGGGACTAAGGGGGCAGCTTAGAGAAGAGGAACTGCTGAATGAATGTGTAACAAGGGACCCCATGTGACCAGAGTTCAATGTTCAGGTGCTGTGCAGCATTTGTTAATCTGGTACTGCCCAGGCACAGTTCATTGTGGCTGGGGGGAGGTCCTGCTGGCTGGAGCAAGGCTGGGCTCTGCCCTGCTGCAGGCTGGTGAGAAGATTGGCTGCAGCCTTAGTCACACTCACAACTTTGGAGCTTTTCCTTAGGCTGTCAGGTCACCTTGATTTATGTCCCTGCTGTGCCTTTGTCAGAGGTTCTGTCTGAGGTCTGTGTGCCTGGGTGGGAAGGCTGGTGAGAAGTGTAGAGACAGTGTCTAAACTGGTGGTTGTATTTTTGGTTGTACTTTCAACAAGAACATCTTTGAGCTGCCTCCTGCTGGTTCTGGACAGCAGCAGCCTGGAAATGGCCCTGGTACTGCAGAGCCATCCTTCACCCCCAGGGCAGCCGAGGGCTCCTGACCCTGCAGTCCAGCAGTGGGAGCAGCAGCAGCAGCTGCCCCTGGGCTTTTTTTGCCCAGCCTCGTGGCTTCTGCCCCGGATCTGCTAGAGCACAGAGCCCGTGTCAACAGCATTCTGTGGCTGCAGCCAGGAAGGGTCAGTCCAGCTCTGTGTCAGGGCTCCTGAAACTCTCCACACCAAGCCCTGTGAAAAGGGGAGCTCGTACAGATTTCCAGCCCCACTTAAATCTTTTGCAGTCAGTCAAATGGGCATTTTGATCATGTTTACCTAAAATGATTTTCACCAGAGTTCTGTAGCAAACTGAATTTTATTTTAAATTCTGTCAACTACTGAAATAAAGTATCAAGCCTTTGCTAATAAGCATTAATAGTCATTGTTGCATCTGAATACAAAAGTGAATCCATACTAGTTCTGTGTTTATTTGATGGTACCTGACCAAGCTCTCTAAATCTCTTAGATTGCTTTTATGACACTTTAATGCATGTTCAAGTTGAAGTGAAAACCTTTTGTAGCAGTTGTCAGTGAAATATTAAACAGTAGGAAGAGAATGACACTTAAAATGTTCATTTAGCATATTTTCACATAAGAATTAAAGCAGCAACTAGGTAATAAACCTCAAAGGGGAGAGAAAAATGTTACCATTTCTGACAACAGCTGTATAGTTTCTGTTGCATATGAGGAACCCATTGTTGCTATCTTTGGGGCGTGCAGCACTTCAAGCATGTCCATGTTACTGCCAAGGGTGGGCTGCTTTTCACAGCCAGATGCTTTATTTTTTTATTTAGGTCAAATCTCACCTTCACTAGAGAAAATAAAATTTGGAGAATAGACATAATGAAAGATTTATGAAAGGTATAGTCTGTGGATTGGTTGGATAACCTGTTTAAAAAAGAGATTGTATCAGACATTGGAAAATTGTGTGTGGTTGTTGTTTTGATTATTTGTTGTTTTCCAGTGTCCCTGGCCGTTCCTTGAGGGAGGCGATAGTTCCTGCCCTGGGAATTGCTGCTGGGGCTCAGATCTGCCAGACTTGCTTTTTTCACAACAGATCAGATGGGATTCACAGATGGCTCCAATCTGGCAGCTGACTTAACTCACATCTCCTCTGCTCACAGAAATTTTTGGTCACTCATCTGTCTTGTCACAACTGGCAGATACTGAAGTTAGGACATGGTACTGTGGGTTGTGCAAGTGATTCTTGTGTGTTGCTTAGGAATATCCACCTTGTGTAAGACACTCAAAATGTCTGTGAAACATACTTTGCTCACATGCTTTTTAAAAACCTGAAAGAGTGACCAACCAACACTCATCTCCCAAATGTCAGAGTACATGGAGGGAAAATTTTCCTCCCTTGCACTGTTTCTGACTGGGCATCACATTTGCCTGTGTCCTGTGCACACATCCTACAGTCTGACCTTTTCTTTGGTTTCAAATAGAGTTGTCACACTCCTCAGCTGCTCTGTGACACCAGTTTTTGCTGCATGCTCGCTCAGAACGTGCTGGGGAAATTAAGTGCCCATGTCTAATTTATGCTGTCAGGAGGACTACCCAGCTGCCCTGTACTCCCCTCACCTTACTCACAGGTAAGCTCTCCCTGGCCCTAGGAAGTGCAGGGAATTGGTGGTTTGAAACACTTGCTCCTCCCTGTGCGGCTGCTGCAGAGTGCTGATCTCCCACTGCTTTACAGCTCTCTGGTGGCTGTTGGGCACCACTGCTCTGTGCCATCAGAAATACCAAGAGTCTTGCTCCTGGATGCCTCATCTCCCTGTGTGAGAGAGGAGGCTTCTGACTCAGGTTCAGCAGCAAGTGTGAACTTGCTGCTGGCCTGTGACCAGGACACAGGAACCACTTTGAGAGCTGTAACCTCAGACCCCAGAGAAACTTGGCGCTCTGCTCCACAGAGAAATCTAGTCTCAGCTGCAAGATGGAGACTAACCAGTGCTGAAAACAACTCAACAGTCAGGGCAGTGATGTGGGATTTGCTTCTGTTCCGCAGGCCTACGCTGGGTGACATTCCTGGGAGTGTTTGCACCAAATATGCATCCCAGAGTGTCATTGCGATTATTGTCCTGCTGCTCAGCCCAACCTGGGCTCCTCAGGGAGGCTGTGCAGGCAGGCAGCAAAACCCACAGCTGGTCAAACAGCAGAGTTCCATTCCCCTTGGCATTTCTGGCTACTGAGCAGGCTTTGAACGAGCTACCACAGGCGTTACTGAGGAGACACAGAGATGGATGAATGTGCCGCGACAGCCCTGATTTTGGACTGGGAGCACTCTCACAGCGTGTTGTCAGCAAGCGTGTCTCAAGGTCACTTGTGCCTTCAAAGCAAGTGGACTGGCTTTGTGGTTCACATGCGATGCATGCAGCACCAGGGCTCCAGCAGATTGCTCCGTAGCTCTTGATTCAAATAACAGTTTCACATAACAGTGCTGTCAGCAGCTTCTGGAAGCCCAGTGCCTCCAAGCAGACCCTGTTTTCATGCGAGAAATCTGTTCAGCTCTGCTCAGTGCAGGCATTAGATGTGGTGTGCTGCAGGTACAGCTGCTGGCATCTTCCTCTGGGCAGCAGCATGAAACGCATGTGCTCATTAACATGCCAGATGGAATCTTTGGTAGGAAGTCCCTGCTAAACCACTCCTTACCCCTAACTTAAAGCCACCCCTTTCAGGAGCTCTGGAGGGTTCATCCCAAACACTAATTCAACAATAGGCTTCCTTCTTCTGAAACTGATGGCACTTCACACACCCTGCTTGACTTCCAAATACTTAAGGTCTAGACACCTTAGTGTAACAATTCCTGGCTCCTCTCTCTTTCCTGGGTTTTGTTTGCAAAGACTTTTCTGGGTAGCTTTTGAGCATTTCCGTTCTGACCTGTATCTGGCTTCAAAGTTGTTTCCCTTACTTGGCAACACAGGATTGCCTTTAACATGTGAGAAGCTCCTGTGATACATTAACACCACTTGTTTGCTACTTGGTGAGATATTTAAAGGCTGCTGAATTGTTACTGTTCAGAATGTGGCTTACTGGTATTAATGAAATACGAAGCTTATGGTGCCAATTAGTCATCTCTCATTTACTCAGAATTCTCTCCATCCTTATATAAAACACACACTAGTCACAAATGTCAAACCAAAAACTATCCCCTAACAACCACACACTGCAGCACCAAGTGTAGCAAAGTGCTGGCTGGGGTTTCCTCTAGCTGCTCCAGTGCATGTGTAAGGAAAGAAGGTCTAAACTGGTGGACGTGTTTGCAGTGATTTTTCAGTGCCAGGGGAGACGGAACAGAGCTGAAGCTGGGCTCGCATTGTTTGGACACACTTTGACTTCAGCACCAAGATTTCATCCAGCATGGCCATGAAATTCTGAAAATCCTGGCAAGGAAGGCACAAGGAAACAGTAGGGAACAGTATCAGCAGGTTGAAAATATCAGCGTATTTTTTACACTGCAGCAGAATGTAAAAGCATTCTGCAGACTAGTAGATTAAATCAGCATTTCCTTATTAAAGTCACAGTCCTCACAGACAAAGGTCAGTGCCTCTAAATACCAAGGTTCACTGACTCTGGTAGTTTTATCTGTTGGTGAAATTACAGCTCGTGTAGTGGCTTAAAAAATAAAAACAAAGCAGCTGCTGTCGCTCTTCTACTCTGGCTAGCTTTTCAAAGGTTTGCTACTGGGACTGGTCACCCAGTTTTACCATGTACTGAACTCTGTTCCTGACACCTCTCATGTTGGATTTATCAATTACGAAAATAAAGGTGAGTTAGGCCACTATGGATCAGACATTATAGCCCAATCTTGAGAGATGCAAGGGATTTATTTCCCATCAGGTCATGGGGCCATGGCTGCAGGTCTGCTATGAGCAATACCAGCTCAATACCGTATCCAGCCTCAACCCAGGGAACTCTACCTTTCATAGCCACACAGATAAAAACCAGTATAGAACTGTGATTAAAACTGGAGTTTTAATCCTTTTTTAAGTAGGGCTGTATTAGTAAGGGAGCACTTGGACATGCTCTTCTCTCCAGCTGAGAGTAGTTTGGTGCCTTTGTTCACAGGTCTGTGCCTGAGAAGCTGGGAGGTGTCAGCATCCCCAGGGCTGGGAAATTCAGCTGCTGTGTATGAAAATCAATCACACAAAAGCTTATTTGGCAGTACTCCAGCTGTATCTCCTGCACTGTATCTCTGTCCTTCAGGGAAATCAGGACAGCTATG